TGATTTTTCACACAAGCGAGGAGGAAAAAGAATAGATGCACTTAGCAAATAGTTAATTTCAGTTAACTGGCATTAAAAGATTACTTGTGGCTCTCCCTTGCCATTCACTGACCTTTATACACTTTCCCAATCACTTCCATGCAAACTCCTCTATTCTAGATGGGCCAACAGGCACTGACAGGTAGACTGTCCTGGATCTCAACCTTTTCTTTCATTTTTCCCCTTCCAGATTTTTAACTTCTATTTTCCTACTGCTATCAGAAACACCAATCTGTCTGTTCACACAGTTAAGTAAGGCAAGTTCTCTACTTCCAACCATCCACTCCATTCTCAGTTTTTTAATCCAATCAGTTGCCATCTACAATACTTCATCTGACTACACTGAACTGGGGCATGGAGTTTCAGACTCAGCTGAAGTGCTGGTTCTTCAAGATTTCCTGCCTTGGGGGCTGCAATAGAGTCCATCAGTCCTTCTGAGTCTCAAACCTTTGGCCCCAGACAGGATGAAACCAACAGCCCTCCTGGTTCTCCAGCTTTCCAAGTGCTGGTCTGAGGACTTCTCAGCTTCCATAGTCACCAGAGTCTGTTCTTTGTAATGAGACACTGATCCTTGCTCTGAAATGCTGATGAATACAGCAAAGGTCAGGATCTTGTCTCTGGCATTCCCAGCTCCTCTTTTCTACTTCCTGCCACCATCCTTGTTCAGAATCTACTCTTCTCTGTCACTGTGCTTCTTGATATCAACCCCCTCCCACCCTTCCTTTCTCTCTTCCCAACCTTCGTTTTCACTGTTCTAAAATTCCTTGGGCTGAGCACATGACCAGCAGGAGAGTCTATGTCTTGCAGTCTGGATGAGGCCCTGTGTTCAATCTTCGGCACCACAGTAATTTAGATAAACAAAATTTGTGTTCCAAAAGCCATATTCTAGGAGCAGAGCTCCAGCTGAATCTCAATAAGAAAAGCAACTCAGGGCTGAAGCAATTGCTCAAGAGGCTAAAGTGCATGCACTGGTGCAGGAAGTCCAGGCTTGAGCCCAGGTGCCTCATTCAACCCCAACCATTGAGTAAGACTTGCATAACGAGGGACAGGGAGTCTAGACGCCAAGTAACAGAAGTTATCCTTGACTGAAGATAAGCTTAATAAAATACTTCAACCATTGATTTGGGTATTTGTGTCACTAAGCTGGTGTCCCTGGTCCTCTTTCTCCTCAGCACACAGAATCCTGGCAGCTGTGTTGAGGAGTGGCAGTTGGTTCCCCCAGATGCCTGCCACCCAGCACCAGGAGAGGGGAGACAAAGCAGCACCCCTGCCTTCCCTTACTCTGAAGGGCAGAGGCTCTCTAAATCTTCATCAAATTCCCCCAAGGTTCACTGCAGCATATTGAAGAATAAATAAATAGCCCAAGATCAATAAAATTGGGGGCGAGGGATATAGCTTGGTGGTAGAAGACATGCTTCAAATTTGTGAGACCTACTGTTCTATTCCCAAAGTAAATAAATATAGCATGAAAACCCAACACAATATCTCATGTATAAATTTAAAAGATAAATGAGGGGGCTGGAGCAATAGTACAGCAGGTAGGGTGTTTGCCTTGAACGCAGTCGACCTGGGTTCGATTCCCAGCATTGAATGGTCCCCCGAGCACCACCAGGAGTAATTCATGAGTGCAGAGCCAGGAGTAACCCCTGTGCATCACTGGGTCTGACCCAAAAAAAAAGGGAAAAAAAAGGATAAATGATACAGCAATGGGTCGACAGTGTGTAGCAAACACATACACAAACACACACATACATGAAAATCTGCCCGTAAGTGCAAGAAGGCACATATACAAGGCATCTTATAGGCAGTGTTTTATTTGGGGAGTTTTCATAGATGTTGTTATCAGTGGTTGTGGAGGTCACACATGGTAGATCTCAAGGCCACGAGAAGATGTTCAGGGCCCACCAGGGTTTCTCCTAGTAATACACATTTTTTGCTGGGAAGCAAACTTACATATGCAAAGTAAATTACCCCTTTGAGTCACATCCTTGGGCCCAGGCAGTGCTGAGGAGCACTGTGTCTATTAGCATCAACTGAAAAGCTTCCTTCCTGGTAGGGAAGAGCCATACCTGGTAGCACTCAGAGTTAATTCAAGCTCAGTGCTCATGGGTCATTACTGGCAGTTCTCAAGGGACCATGCATTACTGAGCATTGAACCCGGGCTTCCTGCTCTATAAAGCATATACTACATCTTGCTGGGCTCTCACTCTGTACCTTACCTAGAGAGTTTTAAAATAATATCAATACTGGGGATATGGTGCCATCAACAGATCATCCTGTACCTGCTGGGTGAGTGCATCAGCAACCTGATGGTGCATTCAGGCTTCCTGACAAAATTGTCGCTGTGCCTTTGGCCAGACCCCAACAACTTGCGACCAAGTTACCAAGAAATTAAATTGTCTAAAGTTGGATATGTGGGATTCATGCCCACAAACCACCTATGGCTCAGCTAAACAAGCTCATTTATTGGCCTTATTTCAGAGATCCTTAGATAAATCTCGAAAGAGATCAAAAGCCATAGTTAATCTCAGACTCGCACATGGCTGAACAGACTGGAGTAAATTGGAGGAGGGTGGTTTGGCCTTTGCCCGCCCAAGCAGAGCAGCTTACCTCCAGCAGCTGCTTGCCTCCACAATTCAAAATCGCGACCATACTCCAGCCTGACTCCACCATGTCAGGACAGATCTCACCAAGATATAATCTGTTGAAAATTCTGGTGTACAGGTTTGGTGACTGAAATTTCCAGGCTTTCTTAGGGGTGAGCTACCTCTCCCCAATTTCCAACACACATGGAAGCACTGGCAGTCACCCCCACAAACCAACTCCAGCACCACTCTGTAAGCTCTACTACTGGTCTTGTTTCAGAGGCCCACAAATAAATCTGGAAAGAGAACAAAAGTGGCAGTTAAGCTTGGACTCGCATATGGCTGAACAGACTGGGGTAAATCGGAGGTGGGGAGGGTTGGCCTATGCCTGCCCAAGCAGAGCTCTCGGCAGCCACTCGCTTCCACAATCCCAAATCACCTCCATACCCCCCAGCCTGACTCCACCATCTCAGGATGGACCTCCCCAAAATATAATCTGCTGAAAGTTTTGATATGCAAATTTTGTGACTGAAATCTCCAGGCTTTCTCCAGATCAGGATGGGCTACCTCCCCCACCTCCCTGTACTTCTGAAAACCTCCACAGTCACATCCACACCTCAAAGCTGTCACCCAATTGAAAAGCTACTCCAACTTTACCATCCTGATAAAAATACCGAATGCCCTGAACAAACACCATCACCTCTTAGTACCTGTATTGCAAATCATAATGCATCAAAGGAAAAGGAGAGAGAGAGCAAGAAGAAAAGAAAAGCAAGTGAGGGTAGGGGGTGGAGGGCTGGGGGTGGCAGTGGGGAAACGGGGGACATTGGTGGTGGGAAATGTACACTGGTGGAGGGGTGGATGCTGGATCATTGAAACCCAATTATGAAGAGCCTTGTAATGGTCTATCTCACGGATATCCAATTAAAAAAAATTTTTTAAAAAGTAATGTGGAGTTCATGCACAATTCAATCAGCTTAATCAATAGCTGAATAAATAGCAATACTCCTACATTTAAAAAAAAAAGCCATATTCTTTGCCACTGAGGGAAATAAAGCTTACAGCTAGAATCCAAAGTAAAATCTGCCACAAACTTTAAGGCACACAATGGGTTTAGCTCTAGGAACTTAGGATCTGTTCAAAGTTATTTTAAATTGGGTCTTGCTAAACTATAATTGATTTACCATAAAGGACCCCCTCAGAAGGACAAGAATAACCACTAATAAAAAAATAATAATAGTATCCATACCTAGTCCCACCTCAGACCAATTAAATCAGAAGTTCCAGGGCCAGAGTGATAGTACAGTGGACAGAGCATCTGCCTTGCATGCGGCCAACCCAGGTTCGATCCTCAGCATCCCATATGGTCTCCCAAGCTCCACCAGGAGCAACTCCTGAGCACTGTCGGGTGTAGCCCCCCCAAAAAAATCAGAAGCTCTTGGCATATATTTCAACCATTTCTGCTCATTATTGAAGTTTTCCCCTCTGTTTTGGTGTCAGGGATCAACCCCAGCACCTAATATCGTCAAAGCAGATGCTCTGGCTCTGCACTATATTCCAGCTAAGTTTTGTGATTATTCTGAGTTCTCCGGGTATTTCTAATATATAATCAGAGTTGAAAACTATAGGCTGGCTTTTTTTTATGAGGATGGACAGGAATGTGCTTCTGTTGTAAATACTTTTTCATTAACCTTTGGTTGAAACAAAAGCAAGGCAAGAACAAATCTGGAAGATGGAGAAAGTAAGTCTCCAAAAATAATACCAGTAATGGCACTGGGGCACTTATTCATGAGCCTCCCTGTGTATGACACCTTCTGGAGCTGACCTTAGAGCATTTCCAATAACTGGATTTTGTAATTGAAAGGCTGGGGCTCTCAGAAATCCTGCCATTTCCCCAGGAAGGGAGGTTGGCATGTGCTAGCCGCGGTGAAGTACTCTAGGAGAACCCTGCGTCCCACTGGCATGCACATGCAAATACAAATGGAACTTACAAGAAAAACCTGAAATGACGCTGTCTTGAAAGCAGGACTCACGCCCTCTCTGTAGAGGATGGATACTCCCCTTTGTTACTGGAGTGAGTTACTCCACACAGTCCAGTGGGAGAGATTTTGGCATGAAAACCATCAGGATGGAACTAATGGAGCCTGAACAGAACAATATTTAAACTCTTCAGATTAAGAGTGCCCCTAGCTGGGAGATGGAAAGAACTCATTTTGCACCATTCACGTGGGATCTAACTGTAGCAGCAGCGAAAGGCGCCAGGCCCGGGCCGGCACTTTAGGGCCTCAACTGTGTCCTGCCTAGGCCCTGGCTCCTCAGCCTACCCCCAGACCATGCCCCCACCCCAAGGGGGGTGTAGGGGAGGCCCCATCTTACCTTTGGTTAGGGAGTGGATCCCCAACTTGACCTGGGAGAAGTTCCCGCTGCCAATTTCCCCTCGGATGCGGTAGAAGCCGATCCGCTTTCCCAGGGTGATCTCTCTCCCCACCTTCTCATCCTGAGACAGGTCCTGGGTCAGCTTCTCGAAGGGCGTCAGCTGCCGCGAATGACCCGCCTCGTCCTCTGGGCTGCCCTCGGCCAGGTAGCTGCTTTCCACGCTGTCCCGCCGGTCCCAGCGGGCACAGTGAGGGGTCACCAGGCCGCCTCCATTCCCATACACCGCGGTCATTCTCCAGAGTCACTGGCTCACATATCGAGCTCGGGAAGAGACTTGGATCCCAGGCAGGTGGGGAGCGGTGGAAGAGGCTGGGAGTTGCCAGGTGGCAGTGGGGCGCTGCCCCAGCCTGTCTGGGGGAGCTGGGCCCCGGGAGCACCCTCGCAAAGGACTCCGGAAGGAGTACAGAGCGGCGCCCTCCTGGACCTCCACCAGAGGAGGGCAGAGGCCAGCCCAGTGCTCAGAAACCGCCAGCCCCACTTTTCATACTTCCCGGATTTCCAGGCTCTGACCCAAGAATCAGGCACCTGGCGGGTTTCCGATTCCCCCCAAAAGCATTCCAGTAAACCTTCCTGTCAGGCTGATGCTCTGGGCTAGGTGGAGGCCTTGAATCAGGGGAAGAACTCCAGTAGGCTATTTCCTTTGGGGACCTGGGAATCTTGGATGCTGCTGTACCGAAGCCCGGCAGAGGCTTCCGAGGCCCCGTGGTGGACGCTGGTCCTTGCTGTCATGCTGCCCTCGCTTTCAGCTTCCAAGGCTCGGGAGACCTAAGCATCAGGATCCCAGGAGAGGAAACTTGCAAATCAGCCTTCTGGCCCCACCGCAGCCAAGAACTGGAGGAGGCGGAAATCTCTGAATGTCACTCTTGCTTGCCTTTATTTAGGTGGACCTTCTTCTAAGCCATGAGCTGTCTCGGGAAATTCGGTAGGTACCAGTTCATCCTAAGAACAAAGAGTAAGAAAATTTATGAGTGTATGTTGGTGTCCTGTACAGGATGCATAATTAATGTGAAAACCTTGTAGGCATGGACCTGCAAATCCTGTAAATGTATGACTCAGAGCAGTAACCAGACAGTTGATTATATATGACTCCATGAGAAAAACAATACACGCACATATGCTCAACAACCAACATCATTTACCAAAGCTCTCATAGTCTGTAAATATTTCTAGCAGTTTGTCTGTTTTTTTAATATTTAGGGAAATTGGCATATTGCCTTGGGCTGCTTTAAAACCAGAATTTAAAATAGCAAAAATGATTTCTAATGAATATCAGGTTTCAAAAAGAACATTTATCTCAAGAACAATGTGTTCCAGGTTCTTTACCCTTTATGTTTTGAACAACTTTTTCTACTCTGGTTGCTCCTACACTTTCTGTTATTCTGGAACTGACTAATTCCCGCCCCCCCCACCCCCACCACCACCACCACCAAGCTTATTTTCTAATGCTTTCTGATCAGGTACCAGCCTCTGGTCTCAGCCCCTCATCATCATCATATCATCAGCATTAGTTTGGGGATCACCCTAAGTGGTGCTAAGGGACTTCTTCCAACTCTGAAAGTATCTCCCAGCTCGGCTTAGGGAACCATCCTGGCCTCCCACATGCAAAGCAGGCTTTGCGTGCACTCAGCTTGTTGAACTAGCTCTCTGACTATCAGGTCCTAATTTGGAAGATACAAAAAAAGGATAAAGTGACCAGAGAGTAAAAATCTATGGCATGCATGCTCAGTGATCAAAAATACAATTCCAGGGGCTGGAGCGATAGCACAGCGGATAGGGCGTTTGCCTTGCATGCGGCCGACTTGGGTTAGATTCCCAGCATCCCATATAGTTCCCCCAGCACTGCCAGGAGCAATTTATGAGTGCATGAGCCAGAAGTAACCCCTGTGCATCTCCGGGTGTGACCAAAAAAAGCAAAAAAAATAAAAAAGAAAAAATACATTCCCTTGGGGATTGGTGGGATAGTACAACAGGCAGGGCACTTACCTTGTGTATTGCCAGCCCAGGTTCAAACCCCTGGGATCCCCCCAAGCACTGTTAGGAGTAAGTCTTTAGAGATAGGAGTAATCCCTGTACACCACCAAGTGTGACCCAAAAACAAAAACAAGATACCATGACCCCACTAGAGTATCTTCATGACCCATGACCTGCACCCACAGTGAGAAATCACCACTTCCCTGGGACTTTCCAGCACATGGTGCATTTCCCAAATAGAGAGATCACAGGCTGGAGTTCACGGCTTTAATTCATCAGCAGGTCTTGCTCCCTCCAGCTCTCCCTCACCACCACAGCCACTGTGACCTATAGAAACAAAGTAATGACCAGAGATTTAAGTGTTGTGCTTCATTTTTAGTTTTGTTTGGTTTGTGGGCCACACCCAGCAGTGCTCAGGGCTTTCTCATGGCTCTGCATTCAGGAATCTCTCTCCTGGCAGAACTCAGGAACCATCTGGGATGTTGGGGGATCAAACAAGCATGCAAGGCAAGCTCCATCCCTGCTGAACTATTGCTCTGGCCCTCCACTTGGTTTTTGGATTTGAGCATTCTGTACCCAAACCATGAATGAAAACATGAGTGATCACCTTGGAAATGTGAATTCCCTGTTCTGATAGATGGATCTCATTATTATAATTAGGTACAGGGTGGCTTAGATTGCCATCGCGGGTATGTGTGGGGGCTGCACAGGACAGGAGAGAGGAAGCTGCTGCCCAGCACAGTTCCTATTTCCCCACAGGGAGAGAGAAAGCAGGAAGAAGAAAAAGTTACAGGTTTCAAGAGCCAGGCACTAAAGAGATAGCTCACAGGCTGGGGTGCATGTTTGCAGGGCGGGAGGCCCAAATTCAATCCCAGATAAGTGTGTATGGTCTCCACAGCACTGCTAGGAGTGTCCCTGAACACAAAATTAGGAGTAACCCTTGAGCACCACTGTGGCCAGAAAACAACAACCCCTCTCAAAAAACAAAACAACAACAACGAAAAGGTCCAGAAGATTCAGATTCAATAACAAAGCACACCTTTATATTAATGTCTGATTAGGTTGTTCTAAAACATCTTGGGTTGGAGAGATAGTATAGGAATTAAGGTACTTGCTTTGCAGGTAGCAACCCAATTCTATCTCCAGCACCACTTATGGTCCCTCGGGTCTTGCCAGTAGTGATCCTGAGCACAAAACCAGGAGCAAGCTCAAGAACTGTCAGTATGGTCCCAAAACTTAAAAAAATAAAATAAAATAAAGGTGCGGGTAGGGCATTCGCCTTACAAGCGGCCAACATAGCCGACCCGAATTTGATTCCTCCGCCCCTCTCGGAGAGCCCGGCAAGCTACAGAGAGTATTCGATATGCCAGACACAGTAACAACAAAGTCTCCAATGGAGACGTTACTGGGCCCACTCGAGCAAATCGACGATCAACGGGAGGGCCTTTACCTTTACCTTTACCTTTTACCTTAATACTCTTAAGATGAAAGAGCCTTAATTACGTTAAGGAGAAAACAAAACAACTGTTTCTTAGGTGTTCTCACGGTAAAAAACAGGATCTTTTGAATTCTAACAAATCTATGTCACTATGCCCACTAATAAAAAGTACACACATTACTTAAATCTAATGTTGAGGGGTTCGCATAACCCATCCCTGCACTTCAGATTAAGAATCTCAGGGCTGGGGGCTGGAGAACATGGGAACCCTGGGTTCATCTCTGTGTTGATCCCTGGCCTCAGCTGGCTCCCATCACCAATGGGAGTAAGCCCTGACCACAGCCATGTATGGCCCCTAACAAGCAAACAGATATGAAGGGCTGGGAAGCTGTGGAGATAGAACAGCAGAGAGATGCTTGCCTTGTATACAACCAATCTGGGTTTGAGTCCCAACACCAATATGGACCCCCAGCCCTAACAGAAGTGATCCCTGAGCACAGAGTTAGGAGTAAGTCCTAAGCAATGCCAGGTGTGGTGCCTGCCCGACCTCCCAAATAGAACAATGGTATATGGTTTCAAGGGTGGAGCACATGTCTATTGTGCATGGGGCTCTGGTCCCCAGCACTGTATAGCCCCTGACACTGCCAGGATGGCCCCAGAGGCCCTAGCACCACTGGGGAATCCCCCTGCCCCGCATCTGTTCTTTGAAAAGGACTCTCTAGAAGATCAAGTGGCATGGAATCTCCTTGAACCCTGGTCAGAGAGACCAGGAAGCAGGAAACATTCCAATTAGGAGAGAAACACTTGCCACCCAAAGACAGAAATTTGTAGAGTCTGCAGTGCTGATCTCCTCCTGTCCCCGCTGATTCCATGAAGAGCAAGTCATCTCTGGGTCCTCCATAAGTCCTTCCTGGGGACCTACCTGGACCCCAGCTCCAGACACCAAGGGCTGGCACCTGCCCCTCATTCTTCTGCCGTCCAGGTGCTCCACAAACATTTCTTGGTGAATGAATTACCTTACCAAACTATCAGATATTATATTTAGATATGAGTTAGTCAACTATTTTTATTAATAACCAAATAACACTTTTCCAACATTATGTGAATGAGCTCAGAGAACAGAGTTCCACCCACACTTCCTAGCCCTGTGCTGCCCCTCTACTGGCTACTAGACCCTGGCACTATCATTTAGTGTGGACCACTGCTTGGTGGGGATTCTCCCACTCATTGAAGACTGCATCAAAACAGCTAGAAAGGCGAAGTTTCCCCCATCCTCTCTCCATGTCCCATTATCACAATTCTCCAAACACCCTGTTCTTTCCTCCTCCTCCTTCTCCTCTTCCCCCTTTTTTCCTTCTTTGAGAAGCTTTTTTTTAAATTGAATCACCATGAGATACAGTTACAAAGCATTCATGTTTGAGTTTCAGTCATACAATGATCTAACACCCATACCTCCACCAGTACATATCTTCCATCACCAATGTCCCCAGTATCCCTCCACCATCCCACCTTTCCCCCTGCCTCTATGGCAGACAATTTCCCCCATATTCTGTCTCTACTTTTGGGCATTATGGTTTGCAATACAGATACCGAGAGGCAATTTAACATTCGGTCCTTTATCTACTTTCAGCACACATCTCCAATCCCGAATGATCCCTCCAACCATCATTGATCTCTTCTCTCTTCCAGCTGCCTTCTTCCTCCTTCATCACAACTCTTCAAATATCCACCCTGTTCTTTTTCCTCCTCCTCCTCCTCCTCCTCTTCCTACTCCTCCTCCTCCTCTTCCTCCTCCTCCTCTTCCTCCTCCTCCTCTTCCTCCTCCTCCTCTTCCTCCTCCTCCTCTTCCTCTTCCTCCTCCTCCTCTTCCTCCTCCTCCTCTTCTTCCTCCTCCTCTTCCTCCTCCTCCTCTTCCTCTTCCTCCTCCT